GGACAAGGGGTAATGGGTTAAAACTGAAACAGGGGAAGTTTAGATTGGATATAAGGAAGAAGTTCTTTACTGTGAAGGTGGTGAGACACTGGAATGGGTTGCCCAGGGAGGCTGTGAATGCTCCATCCTTGGCGGTGTTCAACGCCAGGTAGGACGGAGTTTGGGTGACATGGTTTAGTTTGAGGTGTCCCTGCCCATGGCAGGGGTTTTGTAACTGGACGATCTTAAGGTCCTTTCTCACCCTAAGTATTCTATGATTCTGTATTTTAAAAACTAGCTACAAGGTTTCATATGCAGGAATATAAAACACAGAGCTCCATGCATCTATTATGAAACTTCAGAGACTTCCCTCGGAAAAAATCAAGTTAAATGACCTCTTATGAGAAATGCATTTTCTCCTTATGGTATGTATTTTTTACTCTCTGCAGCACTAATGATAGTAAGCTTTTTTCTCATCCAGCATGAAATTTGCTGATCAAAGACACTTGCAGCTGGTATGCACTTAATAAATACATTGCAGCAGCAATACATTTCTACAAACTCGTATATTACAACTTAAACACAGGTTTCAACGCAGCATAATCTTAAACTGAGTTTAAAAAGTGCAGTTTAAATCAACATCGTGTATTCTTGTTCTTAAAGAACCTCCATAATTATCTTCACTCAAGAAAATCCTGACAGACTTCTGCAAGAGGAAACTGTATCAGAAAAAATTACATTACTAAATTAGGAAACTGCAAAAACAAAAAGGTGTTGCTGGCGAGGTGAAACTTCTCAAATACAGCAGCACCTGTCAGAATGGATGAGAATTTTTCTTAGTAGCTTAAGAAGCATAATTGATTCTAAAAATTGATGCAGACTTTGCTGAAGAGAACAAAGGAAAGAAAGGCTTTATGCTCCTCCCAGATGAGAGAAGGCAGACTTGGGGATCCACAGTGATGCAGTCTCCCTTTACAAGCATGGATATTTAAGCATGATCCTTACAGCTGCATTTAAAAAAGAGAAGACAAACCCAACACTGAGCAAACCTAGTGCTCAGCGTTATGCTCCAGGGTACCATACAACTACCAGGCTGGCCAACCAGTGAGAAGTAGGGTGGCTATCTCTGCTTCTTCCAGTCAGACATAGAACAGGCATGGCCAACTGTAGGTGTCATGCTTTGTTTTCCTAACAGATACAGCAGGTCTACAATGACACTCACGCACCACATACTGCATCCCACAGCATGACTACGTCTCTGATCTGTATCCCTTTTAAGTATACCTTTTTTCCTGATTCCACCTGACTCCTGTGACCATCAGGAGGATCACAGAACCACAGAATGATTTGGGTCGGAAGGGACCTTCAAGCTCATCCAGCTCCAACCCCCTGCCACGAGCAGGGACATCTTCCACTAGAGCAGCTTGCTCCAAGCCCCATCCAACCTGGCCTTGAACACTGCCAGGGATGGGGCAGCCACAGCTGAGAAACCTCTTTCTTCATATCATTCTGTGAACCCCGCTGAACTTGCTATGATAGCCAAAGACGTCTGCAGGATCTGACACTGATATAATTATGTGCCATATTTTGATATTTAAGTCCCTTATGTCACCTGACAGGGAGAAGCGCAACCGATAAAGTGTTCTTAGCGGCACACACAGCCCTGCGTGTGAACAGCTGTGGTGATAGTGTATTAAAAAAGAAAACTGGATAGTATTTCTAGCCTCATAAAGTCATTTAACATTAAATGTGCAAGTCTAATGAGCGAGGTGTACGGCAACCTCTAGTGGTATATGCCTGCTCAGAAAACCGCAAACATTCCAACACATGAACCTATAGGAAAAGTGATTGCCTTACGTAATCAGTCGTTTTCTTGTCACTGACTGACATGGTTATGAGATGTCAGAATACAACTGTTCAGGGACAGATTCTCCATTTCCAAGTGTGTCACATACTGGAGTAGGCAGGCTAGCAGTAGGAAAGTCAAAGATCCTGAAAGCTGTTTCCAAATAGGTTAAAGGAATTAATGCCAACTAACTGAAGTTTTAAGAGACAAGTCGAATACCTGCCCTAATACTGCAGTTATAGATTCACTTTTTGGTAATTGGACTTGTAGAACAGAAACCAAGCAAAGGAAAAACCTACACTCACTGCAGGTAAGTAACACTCCACCTGGTTGTGCTTTACCACTTAGAAACTATACAGCTGCTTCTGGTAGCCATTTGTGACAATAATGACATCAACACACATTTTATTTGTTTATAATAAAGTCTACCAATATAATTTAAAGATACTACAAATGTCAGCACTCCACAAATATGACAGAGACACAGTGCAGTGTAGCATCACCCTTGGCACTATTGTGATAAAATAGCTCTGTGTAATTAGAAACAAACCAGTGCTAACAGTGGATAGAGAAGGGAAGGATTGTGAAGTCAGGGTAATCTATCTACAACAGAAGACATCCAACATTAAGTGAACAGTGTGTTGGATCTTACTATAAAACACCTATTACATCTATTTTTACTTCCAGCAGCTGCTTGTGATAGATTTATACAAATCTATCAATTTTCATGCTTTCTGTGACACAAATTACCTAACATTATGAAGCTGTATTTTGCTGAAATTTTAAGTACACTACATTGAATATTCCCAGCTAATTCTTTCACAGAAAATAGTCTTCAGAATTTAAAACAATTGGCAGTCTATGCTCAGAACAGGATTAGGAAAAAGCCTCCATGGAAGTGGAATTACTTCTTACATTAAGGAAGGACTCATTAGAGCATCTGGTAAAGCTTCAATTGTAACTGTTCAGTTATATTGCTAAGCAGATTTTAAGTTAAGTGTTTCATAGCTACTTAATTAAAAAACCCAATACCCTAAAATACTTAATGTAATATAAAATACCATCTTCTTTTTAGGCTCCTCCTTTACTGAAACTACTTTTTCATTATGGATACCGTGGTTTCTTCTCTCAGAGTTGCTTGCACTCTGATGGTAGAACCAGAATAGGAAATTAAATGTAAATCTTCTGCTTTGGCATCATGGACAAAGCCGGGTCCACCAGGTCTGGCTATGTTTAATAGTGGCTAACAGGCTTCATAAGGTAGAAAAAGGAAGGACAACATATGCATCAAAACATCAATCTCTTATGAAACGTGTATTCCTATTGCTGTTCTTAGTAAGTGAAACTTCGAACAAATCTGTGGATTTTGAGAGGAAATTGAGTTAAAATACTTCCTTTATGGTGCTTAAGCCTGACAGGGAATCCAAGGTTGTAAAGCTCCTCGGAAGAAAATGCTACCATACTCGTAGTAAAATCATACAGGAAACAAGCTGCCCCTTCAACTGACTCTGCCTTCCAGCCTGCTCATCTTCGAGCACCACAGGGCATTTTCCAAGAGAGTTAAACACAGTTTTATAGCTGGGTCTTCTGATTTACATGCAATCATGATCTTGGTGACAAATTAAATCCCAAACTTGGTGGCCATTTTTACCTAGTTTCCAAATGTACTGGTTTTTAACTGCAGAATAAGATCTTCCTTCCCTAACCCTCCTCCTGTTTCCCTGTTTCTTTTTTCGAATTTGAAATAACCTCCACTATTTCCACAATAACAATAATACTATGGAGCATTTGGCAACAAGGGAAAAGCTTAAAATTAACAGCAATGGAGTATCTTTGGACTATAGTCCAGCAGACCACATGCTTAGCCATTTTGTAAACCAATTAAATCAAAGCAATCCAGCTAAACTTACTTCAAACAGTAGATGTCCATAAACTCAGAGCATTTTGACAAAAGCCAAGCCACTCAGAAATACACATGCAGTCGGTCTAGAGGACTCAAAATTACTGAGCAGTGGTAGAGCTGGCTGTAACATTACTAGCAAGGTAACCTCTTCCAGCTACCAGAGGAACACATGTTACTTTGGTCTGCAGAAACAGCAGCAAAATAAAATGGAACAAAATCAGAAACTGGGAACACTGGGAAAAGATCTGAAGTGGCAAAGTGCCACACAAAAAACAGACCAAGTGTTTGAGCCTCAAGGTAGAGCATCTCACGCCACACCAGGATCTATGATTTCAGGGTGCGACATTTGCAAAAGCTTGGAAAACTCAGACTCTGTGTTTATGATTTGAGAAATGAAGCAATTATTTCAGATTCCGTCTGTAATAGGTAACAGGAAAATAGCTGCAATTCAAATTCTGAACAACCACTGTCAATGCAAAAGGTATGCAAAGAGAGCAAGCATCAGAAAGGAAAAGGTAAAGGCAGAATGCTTTCATCCTGGTTTGCTGTCCATACTTCTACAATCAACCATTTCCAAAAGAGAAGGAACTCAAGGGAGAATTAAATCCTGAAGAGCAATGGTTTAAGAACAATGCCTTGTTAATCCAGCCCTTTACAAAGTATACAGGCATGCAATTATCATTTTCTTATTTTTGGCACACTGTCTGTATTTGACAAGCACTGTTAATGGTTTATTCCAGATCGCATTAACAAGGACCTTCCCAGTTTCCCCTGGAGCTCAGAAAGGGGCTGGCTGCCAAGACAAGAAGGATGCTGGACACATAATTACCTGCCTTTACGAACTGATCTGCACCTTCAGTATCTACTTCTTTAAAGTTATGGCCCTGTTTTAGAACCAGAGCAGATATTGACTACTTATGACTATACAGGCTAAGACACTTTATCAGTTGAAAAACATGTGTTTGCCCGTATCATCACAAAATGGCCATTGTGTTATGTCTAATTTAACAAATAGATCTACTGCCAAACATGGAGGAAGAAACAAAGCAAGTTGAAAATCCAGTCTGTATAGTACTTGAGAACCACCACTCTAGTGCCTTTTCTTAATAAGGTGCTACATGACTAAAAAAAACACCAACCATAAACCAACCACACAAATCCCTGAAAACCTTCTGGTATGAAAACAGCTACTGTGCTGTTCTGTTAATGGACTCAGAAGTTCCTCAGACAGAGAAACAAGTATCTTTCGTGCATTCAGAACGGATTCAAGTATAAAGCAAATTGGTTTATTCTAGGATTGTTTAGTAATTCAGTTAGCATTTCATCTATTTACTTCATTGGTATCTATTAGGGAATACAGAATTCAAGTTCCTCTACTTCTGAGTTTCAAAGATGAGTTTTGAGAGTCTTTATATTTACCTGATGATCCTCTGAGCCGCATACTGATGAAGTGAGCGGAACTGTGCTGACATATTTGCTAAGGCTGCCAGACAATTTGTATGAAGGTATTTGTCCTGTCAGAAAGAAGAGGAAAGAAAAAACCTACATCAAGCTGTTCTTTTGATACACACTGACACCTATTGCAGGAATCATTCAAAAGACTGAGTAATACATGTTGCTTTAAAGGACACAGTCAAAAGCATCCAGCAGAAATGCAAAGTGTATATACTTGGTCATGTTTTAAATGGTTGTCTTAAATTGTAAGGCTTGCAAAAGAATGATTGTTTCATTCAGATTTTGGAATGTATATGTCTGTATGGATATATATATATACATTTCGTTAGCAATGTTATTTACAATGACATCATAGATACAACAAATAATGAGAAACATTCTCATCCTCCCCCTTTCTCTCTCTCCCTTTTGTAGTCTTATCCTAAAATTTTCTGCTTCACAGCTCATCTCACTGTTAACTCTTTCAAAGCATTCTATCTATCCCACAACTATAACCATATGATACTTCAGAGATCTGGTGCCCTTGTTAGCACCCCCGAAACCGTTTGTCCAGATAAGCATTTAAATATGGCCCTAGTGAAGTCAAGGGTTTGCAGAGAACCAAACTTTTCACTTACGCAATCCAATAGGGGATTATTTCCCTACTCAAATCTAAAATATACATAACATGACAGATTCCAAATCCTACAAATGTATGTCAAGAATGGCATTGTTTCCCACAGTTTCTTTCGATCATAAGTTTTGATCCTGAACTCTTCCAATTTAAAATATATTTAAACATTTTTTGCTACTTTTCAATGTAAAAACTTCCATGCCTTCAATTGCTAAATATACTCAGAATGTAGGATACCATGCTTATATATTTGAGATAAGTTATAGAACCAAATACTAGAAAAATGCATGAAAGCAATCTGATAAGATGCTATAAAGTTGAAACAGTTCTGTTTGCTAGAGCTCAAAAAACTTTTACGGCCCAGTCACTGTCCTACTTCATAGAACACTAACAACAAGTAGAGCTGAACTTCCTACCTTCTGAGTAACTTGAGAGGCAAACAACCTATAGGAATCATTTCTTCTCATAAAACTAAGGAACTTTTCTTCTCATCTGAAGATGAGTGCAGTGTCTGAATTACGTTCTTTAGAGAACCCTATTCACGGAACTGGATGATGATACAGAAACGGTGTTACAAGTTCAGAACCACTTAACATTGTGCTTAGTTAATATGGCAGATCTATCCATTTCCTTCCCTCCTGTAAATTCAAATGACAACTGGTTGCAACAGAATGAAGAAAATCCCACATCCTGTTTGAAACTGAATTGATGCCGTTGAAGTTAGAAATGCGCATGATGTGTGTAAGCGCTACACATAACTCTTACCCTTGTCCGTGTCATGTTGTACTGGATGGTTCTTATCACAACTAATATCAGGAGACTCCCAAGTGAGATCTCTGTTAAAACACGCTCAGCATACCAGGTGATATTTTTCAATATCTGAAAAACAAGAACAGAATTCTTCAGCACCCAGGTCTGAATAAGAACACCAAAAGCTGTTTGCACTCTCATATTCCTTATGAGAGGCAAATTAGCTTCCAGACTCAAACATGAGAAAATCTACTGTATTCTAAAGCATGATTTGAAAAATAGTAACAAAGAAAAAGAACAAAAAAGACAGACCTCTTCAGTACTATCACTTCACAGATCTCATCAACTTTATCATCAGTCAAGTGGAAACACACTGTGTAGAAAGATGATTCAACTTGGCATTTCCCTAATTTCTATGCCCTGTGCCACCACACGGCTGTATTCTTTTTGATCTTACCCTTCACACTTTATAAAGTCTCCAGTCTCACCCCAGACATGTGAATAACATTGCCAATTCCTTCCTATTTTCCCTCATTACCAACTGGGCAAGAGGCAGCACGTACAATCCCTGACTGATCGGCAAGAGCACACATGCTGAAGGTCACGGGGCAGATCAACAGGTTAACTGTTGACTTCACACTGAAGCCTTTCTCCTGCCAGATGTGATGTCTCTTCCCTTAATAGGCTAGTGAAAGTCATCAGCTAGGTTAAGAGCTGCATATCTTTCAGTGCTCTACACCATCAGGGTAGATGAAGTTTGCCACCATTTCTGAGTTTACAACAGAATGAGAATCAATCCGCTCTCTCCTATCAGAATACTCATCCAATCAACCAACAGCGATAGAGCAAAAAATCCCTGCCTTAAAGAACTGGTAAAAATGAGTCAACAGGAACTCAACTAGTGGAGAAGACCCTCTATAATGTCGGGCTTGTTCTGGGTCAAAACAAAGATTTGCTTAACAAGGACTATTTAACATAACGCTATAATTCCATATAACTTAATTTTTGATATATTAAAATTGTGTTTCATTGAAACTTCACAGTCAAAGAAAATAATATAGATGTATTTAAAAAATCTAAACCCTATCAACCTCAACAATCAACTTCACTAAACCCTTTATTAACTCTTAAAAAATTACATGAAAACACTTCTGACCATACCCCTTCTTGCTCCTTCTCCTTTGGATGAGTAAAAAAATTGTGGCACTTCAATTTATATAATTTATGCTTTTAGAATTCCCTCTTCCTCCCACTAACAAGGTCTCACAGCAAAACCTCTTTAAGAGAGAGGATGCAGAAGTAGTAACTGAACTCCTATGAGGAGATAGGAAGAGCTGAATGCTGAATGACTTGTGGATGGCGAAAGGGAAAGGCAATGCTAGGAACTACTTCAAGTTGCTGCTGATTTTATACTGCTTACTCCTTCTAAGACATACACAGTCATATAAACTCTGATGGAAAGAATCACAATCGTATTTGCGAAAAAGAAGGTTTATCTGGAAAGCAAAATTAAAATAATATATTAATTTAGTGAAATTCTGAAATATTTTAAAAAGGCACTTTTAGAATCTAAAGCCTCATACAGTTACCTAAAAAAAAAAAAAATAAAAAAAAAATCTATGCAATGGTGTCTACACAGGCTTCTGAAGGAAAGTAATACTAAATTCTGCAAAATCTATGGCAAAATGTGGGCCCATAGTCTGGGCAGCTCTCGTTTTGAAGTGTTACAGCATCATCCCTTTGTTTGATAGGGCAGACTCTTCCATTTCAACTCAAGAGTGCCACAGAGAAATGACTCCATATCTGAAAGTAAAAACACTGGTTGTACTTACACATTTATGTGACATGGAGAAATGGACAATCAACATATAGGCATTTAGATCTTGTTATTAATTTGTTAACAGTGCAAAACACCAACTTGTCTCATTACTGGTAATGGCAAAGGGTTGCTTTGTTTCTCTAATAATCATGTGTTTGAACACCATTATATGTCACGTTTTTAAACGATGCAGTCACTTGGTTGCTAACCACAAAAACAGCACAGATCTAGAATCCAATGAGGTCACGCCATACCTGCATTTTCCAAAATATTAATCTTCTCATTTGAAATTCTTTATTTTCTGTATTTAAGGGGATTATTAATGATGGTCATGCACACTGTTCACTAAAGCTCATTAAAGGCAGTATGTTAAGCAATCTTCTTTTCATTGCATATATATATTGAAGAAGGAAACAGGAAACCAAGATCTATTTTGCTAACACAACTTCTTCCGCTCAGCCCAGAGCCTGAGTCCGTGTAAACCTTTCTGAATTACAGAATCACAGTATTGTTTAGGTTGGAAAAGTCCCTTAAAATTATTGAGTCCAATTGCTAAACCACAACCCTAAGTGCCACATCTACACATCTTTCAAATATCTCCAGGGACGATGATTCCAGCCCTGCCCTGGGCAGCCTGTTCCAATGCCTGAGCACCCGCTGGGGCAGGAATTGTTCCTCAGCTCCATCTAAACCTGCCCTGGTGCAGCTTGAGGCCGGTTCCTCTTGTCCCATCCCTTGTTCCTTGGGAGCAGAGCCCAGCCCCTCCTGGCTCCATCCTCCTGTCAGGCAGTTGTAGGCAGCGATCAAGTCCCCCCTGAGCCTTCTCTTCTCCAGACTGAACCCCCCAGGTCCCTCAGCTCTTCCCCATCACACTTGTGCTCCAGGCCCTGCTCCAGCTCCATTGCCCTTCTCTGGCCCCGCTCCAGCCCCTCAATGTCTCTCCTGTAGTGAGGGGCCCAGCATGGAACACAGGATTCAAGGTGCGGCCTCACCAGTGCCCAGTACAGAGGCACAATCACTGCCCTGGCCCTGCTGGCCATGCTGGTGCTGATACAGGGCAGGATGCTTTTCCTACAGTGGAATATGAGCAGGCTATGTGAGAGTCCTGTAAGAATATTAACTGTATGACTGTCACTGCAGATGACAACTTGTTTTAAATAGACCACATGTCTTCGGAGAGAAAATTAGAAGTTGTATTATAAAAAGAACACTTCAAGTAGGAAGTCCCCTTTCCAATTATCTTCCTGATCTTTGTTTCTCTTCCATCAGTCTGCTTTCATTTTGAATTTTCCCCATGCTCCCCACAGTTGGGTTTGGAATACCACTAACAGAATCAGCCAACAGACCGCTGCTGACCAATCCTTCCAAATATGAGTTGCAATAAGGCAGTCTGGAGTATTTTACAATGCGCCTGTTACTGAATTTCTTTTCTATTCAGCAGCCTTCATTCCTGCAGTAAGTTTAAGACATACATAAGTACATGCCTCCCACAAAAGCATGTGAACTAAGCAAATTATTAATATTACAATCTGTGATGCATCAACGATCTTAAATACTATTCTGTTCTGAGGAACCCCCAATAGTTGCTCACAAATCACTGTAATGCAAATTGTGTTGAGAATGCAGAGGTTAGACTGCAACTGTTTGATGTCAACTGCTCTGAAATACATATCCAAAGCACCCTGTAACCTACATATAACTCTGCTTCATTCTATTAATCAACTTTTGCCCTTAAATCCCAAACATGTACGTTGTAGACCCCTATGCTTTAAGGGTTTCTTTTCATTATCAGTTGGGATCAAGTCCTCCCTCTCTTACACACTATACTCCCACTTGTGACTTCAAATGCATTTTTATCATCTCCAAACACAAACCAAAGACAGACCTATCCAATCAAAGTAATATAAGACAGACTTTTGACACATCCAGCAGTTCCTCTTCTCAGCAAACTTCGTGCTCCTGACAGAACTATTCATGATTAATCAGAAAGATTCATATCAGCAAATTAAAATGAAAAAATGCTTTTTTTTTTTTTTTTTACATGAAGGAGTCCTTCTCACAGGACTCCTCCTCCAAGCAGCCACCACCTTCACATTACTGGCTTTCTTGTCTCCCCCCTCAGCTGCTGCTGATGCTGCCCAGGACACGCATCAAGGCATTGGCTTCTCAATTACTCCACGGCAAGAGTGTTCCAAGCTGTGCTTTGCAACAGTACCATGGCTGTTCCCAGCACTTCTGATAGCAGTACTGCTGGCAAAAATCAGGGTATTATTTAACACAAGGCTTTGGGGGATATTATACTTCCCTTCGTATCATGTAGGATCCTACTGTAAGGAATACTTACTACTCAAGACATAATTACACGTACATTTTATCAAAACTCTTGGTCAATAGATTCTAAAGCAAAACCCAAGTAGAAAAAAAAATATTTTATGAAGTTTATTCCAGACAAGGGTAAAACTATATAAGTACTATTTTAAAACTCCTTTTTTGGGTGGTGGTTTGGTTTTTATTAAAAATATTGTTTAACCTTCCATGCTCTGCATATTCCAGATGCGTATATATTTCTTTCCTTTACCTCCCACCCTCATTTTTACCTTCACTGTGCGTCTTGTACTTTCACAGTACAAGAGACATCTGAAATAGAATCCCAATTATGATTCATCAAACTCTCTCCTTCCTCACTTTATTCCTAGCATACCTGAAAGCCTCTCTTTAATTAAGTATTTCAGGGAAGATTTCATTTGTCTGTGCTGAAAGATCTTTTTTGATGAACCTCCTAAAAAGGAGGATCCTGCTACAAGGATTCTTACCCATTTATGCTTTGGAGAATCAGGCATACAAAGACCTACGCAACAAGAGGTACATCCCAAATATCATGATAGACTAGCTACTCTACAATGACAGAAAAAGGCACAGCCACTTAAGACGCACTTGGTAGGCTCAGGAAATTCATGTTAGTAGGAAAGCTGATGCAGTTTGAGATCTGAAATCCTTTCCGTACCGTACATGAAGAGACAAAATACAAGTTCAGATCATTAAAATAAAACATGAAAAAAGTATCTCCATCATCAGATGCTAGCTAACCTCTGACTTTCTGTCACCACCTTCCTGTTTCCCACAAGGAGCTAAAGTGAAGCCAATGACTGACCTACAGAATGGAAAAAAACAACATTTAATAGTAGTGAAGTGCTGGCTAAGGTGACAAACATCCCCAGCAACAGGCTCAAATGTGACAATTTCTGGTAAACACTTTTTGCTAAAAGGATAGAAAAATCAGAATACGGGGAAGAGGGAAAGACTTGAGAGGTATTTAAAGAAGAATGGTTAAAGCTGAGTAACAAATAGGAAACATGAAATCACTGCACAAGAGGTTTCCACATATAGCAGGCTATGAGTGAATGTGGAAACAAGTATAATTTCTGGTTGTAACTAGTCACTAGTACTATTTTAAGACAAAGTGGTGATGGTCTAAATGAAAGCAAATTATCCAAGGAGTTTCAGTAAACAAGGACATCTAGTCAGGACGGACAGCATAGATGATTAACAGGAACAGCCTGAAAGACATAAAAATCTACCTGTATTTTCACAAAAGAGGCAATGAAAAGTTAAAACGCTGTTAGTTGAGTAATTAATGGATTATACACATGAAATTCACTGCAAGAAGATACTCTGCTAGAGAAGAACTTAATCATCCTGAGGCTGCTGAACATAAACGTATGATCACATATAGCAAGTTAGTGGGTTATTTCAAACTGCAAAATGGTAAATGAAGTGTAGACAGTCACTTCAGTTGCAATTAATTGTGATTTCTTAAAAACAGTTTATGTGAAATTATGACTACATGATATCTGTTTTCAAGACAAGATTTTATATAAGGAAATAAATGAACCACTTTGACAACAAAGCGTCCAAGCTGAGCACCTGAACCTTCCAGAAGAAAAATACACTGTTTTTTGAATGTTTGTACTCTGTAATATATAAATATTAACAGGATAAGCTGTGACTGCATATTTCATATCCTGAAACTTCTGAACACTTAACTTACTGAAAAGTAATATACGCTTTAAAACAAAATATAAATATGAAAATGGGTAGTATAGAATACTATTTGTTTCGACATTATGCACAATGTGAATCCAAACCATTGCCACATAAAGGCACATATTTCCAGATGCTTATTGAAAAGAAAGATTTTCACTCAATTTGCTCTAAACCAATACCCAAAGAGTGGGTATTTTCCCCCTGTCTGAGACAAAATATGCTTACCCCAATAGAAAGATCAACTTACTGATTAAACCTCTAATACGCCATTTCTCAGAGTCTCTCATTTGCAAGTGAAATAGCAAAGCGACCTTCTCCCACAAATAAACTGAGGCCCGTATTCCTTTCTACCCCTTTTGGTGCTATTCTGTGGGGCACATCCCTGTGCTTCACCAACCAAAGTGGAAGTTCCTTGATTCACACTGTAATGGAACTCAGAAGCCTCGGGTCCCACCACGTGGTCTCTCACAAGGGGTATCTCCACAAGAAAAGAAGAATGGGGCTGGAACAAGTTAGATAACCTCCA